GGTCATTATATTACATGTTGTTATCTTCAACATGTTATCTTCAACATGTTGTTATCTTCATCTGGTAATCTCAGATTACCAGATGACAGAATGCAAGATTGATCAAACCATTAAAGAGAATAAAAAAATAAGAACAAAAAAAGATACAGAGTTTCACTGGATGGGATGGTAGGAATTCACCAATGGTTGTTATATTGTATATTGTTCACAGATTGTAGTAGAGAAAACGAAACTGATTCAGGAGATTTTTCTCCCCATAAAAGAGAATATAGGGCTGGGGAAATAAGTCTTTTAGCATATGTCTAAATAATAATAATAATAACAAATAAAATTTGTATAAGTTCATGAAAACAGCTTCTAAATTCCAAAGCACACTATTACCTTCTTTTTTGTTTTTTGCTTGTTTGTTTGTTTTGAGACAGGGTCTCCCTATGTAGTTCAGGCTGGCCTCGAAATCATGATGATCCTCCTGATTCAGTCTCCCAAGTGCTGGGATTACAGGCGTGCGCCACCACACCCAGCTACTATTTCCTTTTTGGAACGACTTCATTTTGAGTTGCTAGGATGATGCGCACACTGCTACTGGGCTCGGTGAGAACATAAAAGAATAAGTAGGTGCACGGCTGAAAAGACAAATGCTTGTAGCAGTGCAGCACTAGGTTGAAGTAGAGAAACCATGAAGGGAGCAAGGAAAGAAGTAGAGCAGGTAGGAGGGAGGGAAGGAAGGGAGGACAGATGGCATTAAGGAGGGAAGGAATAAAAGAGAGCGGGGATGAAAGGAGGAAGGGAGGACGGAAGGAAGGAAGAAAGGGGAAAGGAAGAGCGATACAGAGAGAGAAAACTCAGAAGCACAGCGTTCTCGTTGAGCTTCAATTTGGAAATGCTGAGCCCCGCATTAGTTCAGCTTCAGCCCGATTCATTCAGCTTTGATATTTTATCTCTGACCCTTTAGATCCTACTTGTGACAATCAGATGCAGAAGGACACAGAACCGGTACCTATCAAAACTTTTCATGAAGATGAAAACCCAGGACAGCCTTTCTACACAGGTTAGAATGTGAGACCCACACCCAGCTGTGATTAGAATCATCTGTCTCTTATTCGGTGCAAATAGAGGGAAAATTAATTTTTTAACTGAATGAGAATTTTAAGTAGTGAATAATGTAAGCATTTTTTCTTTACTTCAATGGTAGCGTGGTTTTGATTTTTTAAACAATTGCTTATCTCTTGTTTTGATCAAGAAAGCTGGCTATGACCACATTCCTTTAGAATGAATTATCCTACTGCTTTGTGTTGTAATTTGAAGATTTTTTTTTTTCTAACCACAAGAATAATAATAATAAAAAAAAGTTTCTAACAAACTTAAATCAAACGTGTAGCAATTTTTGTGAGAGCCTGCCTTTCCGGTTCAACATGAGGAAGGTTACATTTTCTGTACTAATTTCTGTAGCTTCCTGGGGAGTTTACTTTCTCATGAATACATGACATTTCAAATGCCACACTTTTCCTAAGCGATCCCAACATTCCATACATGTTTGTAGAAAATGCTTTAAAAGGCAGTCATGCACCCCTTAACCACAGTGATATCATTTTGGAAACATTGTACTGTGCACTTTTTAAATCCAGATGGCCATGCTGGTGCTAGGTGGTATAATCTATATGGCAATGATGCCACCAGATGCCTAATCAGGACAAACGGTAAGTGGACCTGAAGAACACCTCCAGACAGTTCCTGTTGCCTGGTATCTATGGACCTCTGGTAATGCAGCTCTTTGAGGAAGGAACACAGCTTGGGCTGGCTGTGTTTGCTAAGTCCTGTGTTGTACTATTAGGGGACCCCCAACACATATGCATTCAACCCTTGAGCAAAACATGAGGTGGTTCCTCATTGCCTGCATTCAGTCATCATTGCGCTCTATTCTAGAATGTCCATAGGGATCTCAGCAAGGTATGTCCAACTGGTCTAGTAATTCTCACATTAAATGAGCATTATCTTGTATAAACTATATTCATTAGTTTGAAAATTAGACAAGAGGAAGAGAAGTGGGGAGGGAACATAAGGATAGGCAAAGAGCTATTGATGTGATTAAAATATATTATACACATTGAGTCCCAAAAATACGAAGCTAAAGGGGATAGCAGGATATGGGAGGTCATGTGAGGAGGTGAATAATATATGTTATATATGCATATCAATCTACCCAAATGAAAGCCATTAATTCATATAACCTACACATACTGATAAAAATGTGAAGAAAAAGAGAAAATGTGCAAGAGAATCCCACAGCCAGGTTATCTACCTACCTTTGAAGATAAATTTCATCCTTATATAACTCAAGTTGAAGTCGGGTTGAGTTTTTAACAACACTGATTCCTACGTCAAGATTTCAAACAGCAATTCTCAACATGCATGAAACAGCAAGTGTCAGTACCAGTTCACACACCAAAGCTTAAAACAATGCTTTTTAATACACACCAAACAGTAAATGTTTAATTCCCACTTTCACCCAAAAAGGTTATCCATGTTACAATAATTGTTTTGTGAGTTCTTTTAAAACATAGTGGGAATAATGATATTATATCATAATTCCTTAAAGCAATAGTATTTAGTTCAGAATGAATAGTAAATGTTTAACTCACAGCTTCCATTTTAATGCAAAACAAGTTATCTAGATTGCAGTTATTGTTTTGTGAGTTCCTTCAGCACATAATGGGAACAATGATATTGGAGCATTCAATTAAGTCACTCAATGGGCTGAGACACTTATAGAGAAGACGTATATAAAATTAAAAGGGAATCAGACTTTAAAAGAGCAGAAATGAAATTTTAGCTCAATGTGCTTTGGAAATTAATATTTAATTAGTCTGGAATTGTAACATTTAGGCTTCCAACCAATCAGGACAAATGGTAATTGGATCTGGAAAGCATTTGCAGAGAGTTGGAGTTTCCTGGTATCAAGGAAATACTGTACCACTAATGTAGCTCTTTGAGAAAGGAATAAAACCTATTTCCCAATTGCTGGACTGTAAAAACTCCCAATATAGCCAAGAGTAGACTCAGGATGGCTTGACAACTAGCTGTCATGATAGCTGAATAAACACAAGTTGGTTCCACTCTACCACTGCCTGATACTCAACCTGATCCTATATTTCTCTTCTTTCATTATAAAGTACTACGAAGAGAGGTGATAACCCTCTCATGCTTACAACTTATGCAAAGTATCCACATGGTCCAATGATCACTGACAAACTCCTACCAAAGTAGGTCTAAGATGAGACTCATTCAATAAGCCTTTGTGTAATTTCTCTTTTCTCCAGTTGACAGAAAGCTCCACATGCAAGAAAGTCACTTTCTCCTTATGCATCCTTACATTGCCAGTACTTTGCATATTTGTCAGCATGTAACACTCTAGATTGTAAACAACTTCTGGGTGGATAATTTTGTCTGTTCCACTCACTGACAGATGCCCAAGTGAACACAGTACATTGCACATTGCACTTGCTCGGTAAATGTTTGTGGAAAAAGATGACTAGAGAGAATACTAAATAACTAAACACCAAGCCATGCATGAAAACCAAGACCAGTCTGAACTTCAGATATACTCTGAAGAGGACATCAGATATTCATAAAATCCACAGAGTATTGACTTGACTTTGGTAAATACACAAATCTAGCCTTCAATTTATCTTTTTCTGTGGCTAGTTCAAGGCATAAGAGTTTGAGGAAATGCACTGAAAATTTTTGCTACTTGTGCCTAAGAAGTACATTTTATCCCAGGGCCATTTTCCTACCAGAAACTGGGTCTTGTTTTTCTCACTTATTTCTACTTTCTCTTGTGCTGTCACTTTTCTCTTTACTCCTCCACAGAGTATTTCTCTCCAGCCCCTCATCCAATATGTTCTTTCTGGCTTTTCTAAAGGGGGAAAGAAAAGGTGTTGGCTGTATTAAAATGCAGTTCTGCAAAGTTCAAGACATGATGTCATAATTCTTCAAATCCCCAGGAACCACAGGAACTTTGCTCATGACAATCCTTGAGGCCCAATATAAAATGAAATCGGGAATACTGCTATCATTGTCTAGAAGGTTCAGACTTCAGCGCTATAAGGTGACCTGAAAAGATTGTCCTCCTATGACATTGGACACACAGGGGTGAGATTTGTGCATAAAATCACTGCAGGTATAGGATCCAAGGCCATGAATTTTGTCTTCTAGAACACAGAGCACGAAAATACCCTGAATTTAGGTAGGACCCAACAGCTATAAATTGTTACATCTTCTGCAAAAGGCTAATTTGTCAGAACTGAACTCCACAGAGGGGATTATAAGTCCAAAGTCAACATCCACCTCTGAAACATACAAAACTGCATAAAATGCTGCATTTCCAGGGACTCCTGGGCATCTCAGTGATATGAATATGATCACCATTCTAAGTTTCAAGGGCATAAAGGAAAGCTCAGATCAGGTCGAGGATGGCGGCGCGCTGAGGTTTATTCATTTATGTTCGTTAGGCCTTCCACAGCCATCAGCAAAACCAAATTAGAACTTGTTACTGACACAGGGCATGACTGTGGTTTGGGCAGTGTGATAATATCCACGCATTTTAAATTTGCTTGAATGATCTAAATCTAGATAACACACCCAAGGAACGATGAAATAAAGATACAACAAGTTATGATCTACCACATTTGAGGCTGGGCAAAGAAAGTCGGGCCTATATTTAAATGGTATTTATTCGTTCATCCATTTATTCACTTCCTCTCTCACAGGACAATGCCGGAAGCGTGAAGAGAGTGCTGTAAGAAAAGATGGAAGAGGTGGTCTCTCAGTAGAGTCTAGGAAAGGACTCACAACAACTTCCAGGAGAGAGAACCAAGCAAAGGACATTCATGGTTTCAAGCACCTGGTGGCCTCCATCGATCAAAGCCGTCCTTTAATTTCACCTCTCCACATGGCATAGACGGTATAAAGCATGAAAAACACCCACATGCCCCATGACTCACTGTTTGGCGGGTACCAGCGCACGGCATTTAAGTAGGCATTGCAGTAATGGAAGAGGAATTCGTGGTCGGAGTGCTGGCTTTTCCCTTGTATCAGGGGCATCAGGTCTCGTCCATCTATGACCCTGCGAGACAAATCAGCCATTGGATCAGCCATGTTCATTCATCCATTCTCTAAAACATCCTCCCAGCAAATGAGAAAGCTACAGACTTACCTCAGTCATGTACACAGAGAAGATAAACCCACCCTGACCAGGCGCCGGGTACCACATGTGGATTCTGCCTGTGTTCATTCGTTAACTGCTTAAATCCCCCACATGCACCTTGAGTTGGGTCTGTTCTCATTGTGGTGCAGAGGAGCCCGGGGTCCGAATGTGGTGAGTAATTTGTCTGAGGTTGTGTGACTAGTAAGAGCCCATGGGACAGAAGTAGACAATTCACCATTCACCCTCTCGATTCCTCTCCTCATCACTTCCTCTATATCCACCTTCCAGATGGCTACTTTGCCAAAAGTAATGCTTTATTCATGAATTAGTGGTCCATTCAAAACAAGAACCCCTGATAGCTTGGATGAAGAAAGATACCATATAGGATGGGACAACTTGGGCAGGATGGACTTCAAAGAAAGAGAATTTCTCAATCAGAATGAATATGCCCTGTGGATGGAATAACTATTCCCAAAGGAAAATATATGCCCTTTACTACTGGATATCTAACTACACAACGAAGGAAAACTATCCTGACTGCAAACAGACATGTACAATTAGTGATGAAACAAATATGATACCAATAGGCTACTGTTATTGAAGGAAAGGTCAGAGAACTATTTTGAACAAATTACAGCGCTGAACTTGAGCATTTTCAGTCTCCGGTTAATAGCATGGCATCCCTGCTCTTTGTTGGGATGAAGTGCTTGCTTTCTTTCTTTCTTTCTTTCTTTCTTTCTTTCTTTCTTTTTCTTTTTTGTTTGGTACGGAGAATAGAACTCATGACCTCGCACTTGCTAGGCAGGTGCTGTGCCGCTGAGCTATATCCCCAGAGGGATGAGGTGCTTTGAACCTGATACTTTAGCATGGCTCTGTAATTTTTCCAAGCCAGCTTGAGGACTCCTGTGTCTGGTAGCTTTCTTTTCTGTAGTTTATAGTTTGGTGTCACCAGAAAAACCAGTAATGTAAGTATTTGCCCTGTTGCTTTGTATTTCTCTGGCCTCAACCCTCTTTATGAATCATGCGCCCTCAACAGACATCCACAGGGGGAAAATATCCTATTATTGTAAGTTTAAAATAAGAATAAAAGACTCGCTAGGCTCCCTTGCTAAGCCAAACCCCGCTAACCACCGGTGGAAGAGCAAAATCGTGGCAGACACAGTTCCACTCATATGCATCGTGTTCTCTGAAATACTGTTTCCACCCCGAAATGATGCTCCTTGCGCTTCCTTCTTTCCAAAACCCTCTCCAGAAAGACCTCGGGCTTATTCATGTGAGATACTGAACAGGGTGGGAAGTAAAGAAGAGAGAGAGAGAGAGTTATGCAGAAATGACCATGAGACACCAGGAGGAGCACCCAACAGCAAAAGCGGGTGTGAGGCTGAGAATTCGAGACAGGCAGCTTCCGTCCTTTCTCTTCTACCTCCGCTTGTGAGTGAGGGGAAAGAAAGCCTCTTATGACTCCTCCAAAGGTAGGGGACCTCCATTTTTTGGACACTATCTGGACCCTTACTTCTTCAATCTGCTTTTACTCCCCATAGAGAAACAAACCCTACACATGATTTAAGAACCTAGGCCATGAACGTGCTTTCTCATTAATACTCAGTACCTGAAAGGGGTCAAAATAATCAGGAGAGACTTAATTTAAAAAATGAGACTCAAAATGGATGGAACTAGAGATCACGTCAAATAAAAGAAACCAGACTCCGAAAGACAAATATCTTGTTTTCTCCTTAATATGTGGCTTCTCAACCAGAAAAGATGACATGAAAGTAGAAGGGAACTATTAGACAAGAGGGAAGAAATAAGAATAAATGAGAAAGAGTGTAAAGAAGGGTAAAGGGGCCAGGCATGGTGATGCACCCCTGCAATCCCAGCACTTGGGAGGCTGAGGCAGGATGATCGTTGCAAGTTTGACACCAGCCTGGGCTACAAAGTGAGCTCAAAGCCAGCCTGAACTGCATAGTGAGACCCTGTCTCAAAAAGACAAAAATAAATAAATAAATAAAGGGTAATAGGAAGGTGGATATAGCCAGAATGTATTATATGCATGTATGACAATACCACAGTGAAACTCAGTGTTTTGTAAAACTCAATATAGAGTAGTTAAAAATATTCCAAAAGGACTACAAGTCTCAAAATTTTTTCTTTCTTATAAACAAACAATAAATTTAACTTGAGAACAAAGTGTAGTCTGCAAACTTCTCTTTCTTCAAATGCAGAGATGGTTTCTCTCTCTCTCTCCATATATATATGGAGAGTTAACATACTCTTTCCTAGAAGGAGGCAATAAATCATGCTGCTATGAAAAACCACCATTTAACAGGGCTGTCAGAAGGAAGCTCGTTTTTGCCATGAAATACAGAAAGTGACTCCCACAGTCCAAACCTTTAATAGGTGTCTGAGCTATCAGAACACCTGGGTTGGTTCTAAACCACATGGATCCACCGTGAAGCCTGCCCATTTCCCCTACAGTTAACATACTCTTTCCTAGAAGCAGGCAATAAATCATGCTGCTATGAAAAACCACCATTTAACAGGGCTGTCAGAAGGAAGCTCGTTTTTGCCATGAAATACAGAAAGTGACTCCCACAGTCCAAACCTTTAATAGGTGTCTGAGCTATCAGAACACCTGGGTTGGTTCTAAACCACATGGATCCACCGTGAAGCCTGCCCATTTCCCTGAGGTCAGCACATTCACGCAGCTGCTAGAGACAAAAATGTTTCAATAATACCGTGCTTTGGGGGAGAGAGGCCAGTCTTTTGTCTGTGTGACGCACAGCTTTGCGGTTCAGAACATAAAACTAAATAGTGTGGGCCAGGAATGCAGTTCAGTGTCCTGGCAAGGGCAAGGTCCTGAGTTCGATTCCTGATACTCCCCCCTAAAAATTTTTTAAGTATAAGTAGTTTGATCAGTGTTTTAGCTGCAGACAAATTCAAGTTATCACAGCAAGTTTGCATAGTTAACCATGGCATGAGTCGGATGTTTTCTCTTGACTCCTGGGGAGAAAAGTGTCCCTTTGTGATTGTTCATCATCTGGAAAGGAAGGTTGCTCTCCTGGGATTTTCTGACTGGCCAGCATGGCGTTGATAGGAGCAGGTGCCCACGTTTGAGAATTCCAGGTCAGGTTAAATCGCATGAGGCAACTTTCATGTGATCGGCAGCACGTTCTGGTCTCTCTGGGACTGACTGCAATGACCCCATTCCTCTATGACTGTGCTCTGCTGGGTCTCAGGACCGAGCACCTGCACGACACACTTTTCTGTCCACCTGGAACACCCTCTCCACCTGCCCCACACATGGCCAATGCTGAGAAGAACAGGGTGCACGAGAGGAGAGAAAGTGCTGGTGGATGGGGAGGGAAGGTGTTGGGGATGATGGCCACTGACTAGCTGATCTGGGGCCCGGTGTTGTTTAGCTACCTGCTGGCATTGCAAAAAGGAAAAAAAAAATGATTTTCAGTGCAGGAAGCAACAACTTAGGAATATGTTCGGGACAAAGTATAGACAGTCCCCAACTTAAACAATGATGCATCTTATGAGTTCTGACGTCCTAATAATGCAACATTGATACTCATTCAGTAGACAATTTAGATGAAGCAATATGCTGCGAGATTCCCTTTCATGTTGCCGTGTGGCCAAGCTGGGACATTTGGCAAGTTAGGTGCATTCCATGCATTTCTGGCTTATGATATTTCCATGTCACAATGAGTTTACCAGGAAAGTGTCCCACTGTAAATCAAGGAGCATCGGTATATACTTCTGTAATAAACCAATAGGCATCTGTTATTGCTTTATGTAGGTGTTGACCGAAAGCCTCATGTGGTCATAGTTGGGGCTTTTCACAGGTGGCTGGATCTACAGTGTGTGATACTGGGATCAAGGGTGTGTGATTACTAAGTTAGTCCACTGATTGGTTTGGCATAGTTCTGGGTGTGGATAATAGGAAGCCTCACCCTGGATGTGAATGCTACCCTCCCTCAGGGTCTGTAGCCTGGACAGAATATAAGAGACAAAAGTAGGGCTGCTGTTGCTGCTTATTGCTGTTTCTTTGCTAGTTCTTTGCTTTGCTGCCTTCTGCTCACCATGAACTATTTCTCCTCTGCATGCCTCTCTGCCATGCCACCCTGCCTCAGAGCCAGCCAACTATGGATCAAAAACCTCTACAAACTGTGAGGCAAACCTCTTCTCCTTTAGCTTCAGGTGTCCAGTATTTTGACTCAGCAGTGAGGAAAGCAAGCAAAACAGCAACCTAACTATCTAGAAAATAATTTTCGTAATCTAGAAAAAAATACATTTATAGTAGTAGCCATTAAATCCTCTGCTTTATTTGGATAGGGAACAAGAGCATTTACAAGGAGATGCACAGGAAAGGGTGGAATTGTCCCCACAAAGATACTCATGTTTTATTCTGCAAAACAGAAGTTAACTAAGAAGAATCCCCTCCACCTGAGCTCTCTTCCTGGTAGGTCAGTCTAAGAAAGAGATTTTCCTCAACTGTCTCTCTTCACGTGAACCAAAGCTCCTGGGAGAACTTAAAAACCACTTTCCAGTCTCTGTAAGGTAGAACGCACATTGCACATTATAGTAGTAATTTCCTTTCTGACCTTAAAATGTCAAATAATTTTAGTTTACCCATGAACTAAGAGAACCAAAATATTTCACCTGTTTGATTCTCCAGAATGGCAGCATTCTGCTTCCTCCCATCACCACTGAAGTTTATGGCCAGAATTTAATGTGTGCAAGAAAGACTAAGTGATTATAACTTCTTGTGACCCTTTATTACCAACACTAGGAAGGGTCATCACGTTGCTATGGAAATATTGTGTCTGCTTGCCAAGATAAAGCCCAAAAAAGTTTTTTTCATCTTAATGAGTTAATATATTCAGGTGTTATCTTCTTCTCTCTTCCTCTACCTGTAACTCCTCTTCTTTTTCTTCCTCCTCCCCGTTTGTCTTCCTCCTTCAACCTTCTTCCTTCTTCTCCTCCTCCTGCTCCTTTTCCTTCTCCTTCTGCTCCTTCTTCTCTTTCTCCTTCCCCTCTTCTCCTCCTCCTCCTCCTTCTTCTTCTTCACCTCCTCCTCATCCTCTTCCTTCACCTGCTCCTCCTCCTCCTCCTTGTTCAACACCCAATTGTCTGCATTTACTAGCACATGCAAAACACTGCCATGAAATACTTCCACAATGATCTTATTTGGAAACCCTGGTGGAATGTGGCAACAGTTTTCTGAATATGCCCAGTCATGATGGCTATGGAAAGCTTTTAGGTAGGTCATGCTACTTAATGAGCATGAAACAATGACACGTATCTGAAGAAAAAATTCATTGCAGGAGATGAGCTCATGGGGTCGACTCAGTGAGCTATTTTCTCTTGCAGCCTGGAGATTCTTCAAAGCAAAAATTCTCCCTCTACACCACGTCTCTCCCCTTGGACTTGAGCAGAAACTCTGGATTACCTCTATTTTTACACAAGTAGAAACTCTGGGTCTAAGGTATTCTCATCTCTACATTTTAATTGATCAGAAAGGGCTCTCAGGAGACCTAGAATACTTTGTGAGAATTAGAGCATTATGTTGGAAGAATGAGCATCCACTGAACAGAATTTCTCTCCTTTTAACAAAACACTCAAAAAGAAGTGAAGCCACCTTGAGAAGAACTGGGTTTCTACCCGCTGAAGGAATTTCTTCTCCTGAGATATACAAATTTAACACAATACTCTAGCAAGAAAGAAAAAAACCTGACAAAGCTGATTTCTACCCACCTTATCAGGAAAGAGTTAAGGTTATGTTCAAAGGGAACATTTGATATCTATATATCAAATTTATAGATGGATAAAGCTATGAAGATATTATCTAGAAGCTTTTATTGAAAAGTTTTGGTGGGAGTTTCTATTTTAACTACATTTTCCATCACAGAGCAGTAAGTTTGAGAGCAGAATTTCTCTACCTCAGCACTTCAGCTATATTTTTAAAGATAATTCATTGTCACGTGGGGCTAATTCACTGCAATATTGGGTCGTCCTGTCCAGCACTATGACATGTTTAGCAATATTCTTGGTATCCCCCTGTGGAAGCCCATGGAAAGCTGAGATAGGACGATCAAACATATCTCCAGGCATTGATAAATACCCCATGAAGAAAACAGGCTATGTCAAATCCATTGCTTGGGATATTTAAAGCCTGCGGGACAAGGACACATGAATGTGACCCAACATAGTTACCAAAATGTTTTAAATACGATATTGTACAATCACTTTATTCCCACCAGATCTTTGGAAGCAGATTTCTGCTTTTGAATATGTGCTCTCTCCAGGACAATGGAAACATCTGACATCTGGACCAGTCTTGAGAGTTCGGAACCTCACAAAGAGACAATGACTGTGGGGTGATTTAGGTGAATATGCTTCAATGACATCTACAGAGAAAACCAACAAAAAAGGAAAGAGTGCATCCCTGAGAGTGTTCTAAGGAGGACACAAACTCATGTCCTGAGTCTAACAAAGAGGCGGGTGGCTTTCTTCTTCAACAGGGGTGAAGGTAGGATAGAGCGAGCTCCTTTAGGGGCAGAAAGCAGTTGACGGGCAGGGCAACAGCAACCTTTCCCTTTATGGATTCTCACCTTGCGTCTGTCCTTCCTCTTTACTTTGCACTTTCCTACTTGGGGGAAAAACCATTCACAGACATTATGCAAGTGGAGACCAGTGATAAATTTAATAGAGTGCATCATGAGAGAAAATGCAATGAAAAGGTTACCTAGACACCCTGTTTGAACAACTTCACAGAAGTGTGTTTGATCCCAAAAATGAGAACTGGGGCCAGTGAGCAGGCGAAACAGAGAGTGAGATTTTTAGCTCTGCAGAAGAAAAGATGCTCTGTGTGTGACTGCTACCAAATCTTCTATCAGGAGAGTGGAAAAGGGAGAGTTTGAGAAAGCAGATCTTAAAAGCCTCCTTTAGTTCTCAGATTTGATGGCTCTATGATTTTGGATGAATATTACATGTGGAAAAGGAAAGAATTTGACCTGTTACCCTGCCTAGAGAAAAATGGCAAATAGTCGTGTTTTCTCTATGCTGTACTTTGCATATACAAAAGCTCTTTTTAAAAAATTGGTACTGAGGATTAAACCCAAGGTCTTTGTGCTGAACTACACCCCTACCCCTTTTTAATTTTTACTTTGAGACAAAGTCTTGTGAAATTGCCCAGGCTGCCTTCAAACTCGAGATCTGCTTAGCTCAGTCTCCCCAGAAGCTGGGTTATAGGCGTGTCACACCATGCCTGACTCACTGACTTCCTTCATCTTCTACCACCCTTATATATGTCTATATTATTTGTTATTGAGCCCATTTCCCAGACAACATATCAAGGCTAAGGAATATGCAACACTTGCTGAGTGTGTAGACAAAGACTGGAACCCAAGCAGTGTGGATGTATGGTCTCCCGTCTTCCCCACAGCACCAGCCACTCTCAAAGTTTTATAGGGAGACCCTTGGGCATCCTTCAGATCTTTCCAGGGTGTCTGGGAAGACACCTCATTTTTTTCATAATTCTAGAAGACATTCTTGGTTTTAAAAATGGTGTCATTGTTTGACAGTGCATTTTCTTTGCATTCAGAGTGGAGGACAATATCATTATCAGTACAGTGGGTAGGAGAATGTGTAGTTGCACTGTTCTAGATTTTAAAATCATTTCTAGCTTTAACTGCTAGTCAGGTAAATACCAGTGGATCACCAGGGATATAGCTCAGCAGCATAAGTACCTGCCTGGCAAATGCAAGGTCCTGAATTCGATTCCCAGTACCAAAACCAAAAATACCAGTGGATCTAACCCACACAAAAGAGCTTTGAAGTCCTCATCTATTGACAAACGTACATAAGTCTTGAGACCACAGCATTTGACACTGGCTGAACAAGAGGCTGTCTTCCTTTTGTGTGTGTGTGTGTTTGTGTGTGTTGAGATGAGCATGTTTCTAAAGTAGATTTTGACAGCAATAAGAAAACACACACACACACACACACACAACAAACTTGGAAACATCAGGAGGCGTGCAAACCCATCTCTGGCCTCCCTGTGGCAGAGCTGTTGTTTTGTCTTTGGTTTTCCCTTTTCTCTTCCTTGTCTTGTCAAGCGAATTTAAATAAGATTTGCAGCTGCCTGCATGACATGAGCCTGGCCTGCCACCACACTAATGAAAACAATTAATCAGCGTGCCTCACTTAAAACTCCTTGGATTGGTAATAACACTTAAGAAGGAAACCATTGGCAATGTCATGTGAAGTTGTATTTAAATTTAAGGGAAAGACACTTCATTTAGAACTTGCTAAATGAGGACGTGCTGGGAAACAGGGCCCTTCGCTGGGGAGCCAGCTGCCTTTCTTGTGGCAGCAGCAAAAAGCTGCTGAGCAGGCTGGAAGGACAGGTGTGGGATCCAACAGGGCAGCTGCCCTGTGGCTGAGCAGCAGGCCAGCGGTGGGAAGAGAGGGACCGGGTGGGCAGAAGGCCGAAAGAAGAAGCTTGGATGAAACCATCCATCCACCTCTCTGCTCCTTCAAAATGTTCACTGCTGTTGGGTGGAATGTAAATTCATGAAGTCACTATGAAAAATATGTGGAGTCCTCAACAATCAAAGTTGATCTACCATATATCCATTCAGATATCCCAGTACACCGACCACCTTGAAAGAGTACCTGTCTGGGGGCAAAGGCGCTCCCGCAAGTTTGGCTATCGTAGGAAATACATCCATGTTGCTTGTAGGCTCATCAGTCTCTAGGCCAGCCTGTATCACTCTTGGCCATCGAAGGATGCCTGGAATCCGAATACCTCCTTCCCAATTGTTCCCTTTGCCTCCTGAAATTACCAAGAGAGAGATAACAGGGAGAGTTCAAACTCTTCAATGCTTATATCAATGTACTCTTCAGTTTATAATATGGGAGAGCCCATTTGCAGGAGTCAAGCGCTCTGATTACATGGATTGAATGAGTTCTCCAAGAGCAATGCAGTGCATATTTTAGTGAAAAAAAAAAAAAAATGACATAGTCAACACTATGCCTGACATGGTCAGCACTGTGTGCTGACTGTGACCCATGACTTTGCAGTTAAGCAGAGCCAAATCTCAAAGCCACAAAAACTCAAGTCCACGGCTTTGAGGTTGAGAGTATGAATTTTATTTCTACTGGTTACCAGATGTGCTAAGTAAAATAGTGGTGTCCCTCAAACGTCCACATTGATATTCTGGGGACCTTACACAGCCAAAGGAACCTTGAGCATGAATCAGAGTTAAACAAAGATAGAGCAAGCTAAAAAATAACATTAATTCTTAGTAGAGACATAATGCATAATTCACAGTGAATAGGAATGTCATTCAAACTTAGGAAGTTAACTTTTTTATTAACAGAAGTTTCAGGGATCTTCAAGTAAGTGTTCGTGGCTAAAAGACAGTGTTTTATACTCGAACACTGTCGACTGAATTCTACTCATCAGAAAGATCTTGCCATGGTGGACCTTCACACACACACTGGAGGAAAATTCATACATAAATTGGTGTCAGAGTGTGTGGTTTTTATGCTAGCGTCCAAAGAAATCTGAAACTCTTCCTTCTGCTTTAGCTTTTCAACATCATTTTGAGGGTAGTCATCTGCTACATGGCATTATACTTGCTTTAGACATATCACATCCAAGAAATAGGGGGTTTAACTTATTTGTTAGTGTTCTTTCAAGCTGTCAAGAGCAGAGCCTATATGAGGAATCTGAACACGCTAAGTACAGTCTGGTCACTCTTCTTCTCAGTCAAAGCCATAGAATTTTCATGTACTTATGTTTCTTTTTTCATCAGCTTCTCCTCCTCTTCCTGATTCTACACCTCCTCTCCTTGTCTTTATATTCTCTTGTGGTTCTGGGAATTGAACCCAGGGTGCTTGTACTGATCTACATCCCTAGCTCATTTTCAACTTCACCTCTTGAGGCAGGGTCTTCCCAAGTCACTAAATTACCCAGGTTGACTCAAACTTGCAATCCTCCTATCTCAGCCTCCCAGAAAGACAGGATTACAGATGTGTGCCACCACACCTGGATGCCTTCTTATCTTTCTATCCCACCAAGCTCGTGCTGTTTTCCCTTTAAGTTCAGCAAATCACAAGAAAAGGGACCACAAAACAAAGCCTAATTTCATTAACAATTTTGATATGTACATATTGCCCCATCAGTCAAAATAAATCAGAATCAGTAAATGGGAAATTGGATTTAACTCTTAAAATGAGCTAAAAGTGTCCTTGGGAAAATTTACTCTGAACATTAGATCCTGCAACAGAAAAAGAGGATCTCGCTGGAAACACTGGCAAATTTGAAACTATTTAAAGCCAGCTAATGGTGAGGAATGACGGTTAATTTGGAGACATACACCATGGCTATGTAGGATGGTAACACAGCAGAAAGCTGTGCAGAGAATCTACAGGAACTCTTTGCAGTTCTTTGGTAATTCTTGCATGAAGCTCAGATGGTTTTGATATACAGGTGTATCTACAGGGTGAGCACCCATATCCCAAATGCTTGAGATGCTATGTGTGTGTGTGTGGGGGGGTCATAGGCAAAACTTTAGAGTGCTAAAAGTACTGTATAAGATTACTTCCATAAGGTGGGCATGGTGGTGCACACCTGTAATCCCAGCACTCTGGAGGCTGAGGCAGGAGGATTGTTGCAAGTTCGAGGCCAGCCTGGGCTACAAAGTGAGCTCGAGGCCAGCCTGAACTGTATAGCGGGACTCTATCTCAAAAAGACAGAAAAAAAAAAGGACTACTTCCATAAAGTATGCTATGTGCATGAAGCATGTAGAAAACATTAATGAATTTCATGTTTAGATTTGTATTCCTTCCCTCAAGGTGTCCTCTCATGTATATACATGTATGCCAAAAATCTCAAAGAAAAAACTTGAAAGCCAAAATATTTGTAGAATTTTCCACTCATAGCATCACGTTGTCACTGAAAAAGTTCCAAATTTTTAGAGCATTGCAGGTTTTAGATTGGGGATGTTCAACATATACACATGTGCACATATATAAAATATATATTATGGATTTACATTATATAGTAAAATCCTTAGCATATATGAATATATAAGATATGTTATAAATGAATCAATACATATCCACCAAGCTAAGCGTTTCTGTACTCTTCAAGCCAAAGAAGTAAAGACAAGCTGACGCACTCCCTCAGAGGGCTGCATGAGGATTGTTTCTTGGTACTCATAACTTGGTACTCATGCGGTTAAAATTCCTTGCTCACCCATCACATGCCATGAATGGAAGCAGACATCTTATCTTATTAAATCTACCCCAGAAGGTGCTACTGTTTCTCTGCATTTTATAAGTACATGACCTGAGGTTGAGGCAAGTCAAGCAACGCGCAGAAGATCACTCCTCTAAATGGCAGAGTTGCAGACATAAAGCCAGCCTTGTCCAACTCCAAAGCCTGTCAGTTTCTACAACTCACTGCTATGTTTGCTTTAACGCTGGAGAATTTGCACCCAGTTGTCTATACACTTCTGGAGGAGGACCACAGGTCCATGATATTTAGGAGTCAAAGAGACACATCTGTACTGTGGAAGGAAGGACTGTGACATTGAGCAAATTTTCTATTCTCCCAGGAGTTAAAACATGCATCATCTTTGGGCCATAAAGCAATGCCCCAGGTGGGCGTTACTGGGGCTGACCAGGAGATGGTGCCAGGCACACCTGGCTGCAGAGCCACATGAGAGAGCAGGTGATAAACAAGGCTGTTAAAAAGGAAACCATGCAGAGAAACCCACAGACGTGACCAACATCTGTGTGTATCAGGGCTCAGGTGCCAGGACTCAGGTGCCATCCCCTCTGGGGATCTTGCTTATCTCCCAGAGTTGCAGGCTGTGGGAGATGAATGTAACAGAAGGCTTCATAGACATCTGCATTGAAGACAAACAAACGAATGCAAGAGGTCCTGGAGAGGCCCTAGAAATGGCATGCCTGGCCAGAGACTCCAGATCTCAAGGGGATTCCAAGCCACACATAGCCAATGGGTGAGAACACTTACCTTCTCTCAGGTGAGCTGCTCCAAGTCCCTCCACCCCCATGCTAGCACAGGACTGTGGGAGGCAGGCAGGTGTCTTTGTGGCCTCCAGCCCCAGCCACCTGCAGACACCTTGTGTGGTGGCCCCTGGTATGGTTTCACCCACAGCGAATTTTCTTTCTTCTCACAAATGCACTTAGTTTAACACAGACACAAGTAGATCCAGACACAATTGTACATGTGTCTACATGAATAGGTATAAATATACATTCTAATTCTTTCCACAAGAAGGGCATGGAAATGGTGATATCTTGATAACCACGAACATAGCCAGTGCAATACCAATCACCAAAAAAGGAATCTGGGTCCCCAGAAGCTGGGACAGAGAAAATACCAGTGTCTTGCAGGACTCCGAATAATTTAGGCACCACTCCTTTCACTCTCCTAGGCTGTGCTTGGGGACTTGCAGAAAGCATGGAGGAAGGGTAAATAGTAATGCAGCCAAGTGACCAAGGACATTAACATCGCCAGTGGTAAGCCAGGTGTGATAATAGGATGCCCCTCTGCTATGAGGTGACGGGTAACAGGGCTACTGCCCTTCTCCAGTCTTTGCCCACCAAACCTATGATCCAGTCCAATCAGGAGAGAAAGGCACAAACCCTAGTTGAGGTACAACCACACCTATTTTTTCTGATAACCTTAAACTCAACATAAGCAACCGGGAAGACCCGAGCTCCTTGCAACATCATGAAAGTCTGTCTCATCTTGTGGCTTGTCACCAATGTTCAGAAACTCAACAAACGTATCAAATAAACATGACCTCGTGCAATCTCTTAAGGCTGTAAGAGAAGTGTTTTTACAACCGCCAAGGAAAAAGAAAATATTTTTACAAGTTGCAGCGGATGATCGACACCTCCAAATGCACGCTGCCTAAGGCAGAACATGTTTGAGGCGGCATGATCGCACATTTCCAGGCATGTGTGAGGAGCAAATATCCCTGCTTGTCAGATGGTGCGGGTTGGAATCTCACTCCTCCGGCCACACTAAGTGCAAAGGGATGTGCACCGAATGACCCATCCAGCTCTGAAATGCCAGCTCCTCAGCACTACTACTGCTGTCACTGCCGGGAACAGGAGAGGGTGAACTCTGGCTGGTGCACTCACTCAGCAGGAGTAAGCAGCAACTCACCCTGCTCAGGAGCAGCAGCGGCGCTCAGCAAATCTCTGGCATGCTTCAAACTCATTGTGTATATCCCAGCTCATTTGCTCCTCAGGCTGCTCTTCAAGGCAGGGAACACGTTTAGCAGCTGAGAAAACTTTGTCCAAAGTGACTTGGAAAGTAACGACTGTTACTAACAAGAGCTCCACCAATCACTCCTTCTAAAACGCTGACACTCAGATCTTCAAAGAAGATACAAAGATAGGAATGGGGTTCCTGCTGCACAGAAACTCACAGTCTCAATGGGTAGCTCAGACACACCCCCACATCAGACAGCTCTGATGTGCTGTCCAGAAATCCTACTCAGAAGACAGAATGTGTGGATGCAGCTCATGTCCTTCAGATCTTCAGCATCTCAAAGGACAGCGCAGACATACCCACAGCGAGCTTTGCTAAAAGAACCCTATAGGACACTCAGAGGTCTGTTGTGGAGGAACACCTAGGTGATTCTCCTTAGAAGAGAAACAATTGCCTCCGTTTTGGCTGAGCCTGACCCTATTTCCATGTACTGATATGTACAGAGCTGGCTGGGATCCTTTCCTTGTCCCTTTACTTGGCTTTAAGCAATGCATATAAGTCTAGGCAAGGTGTTG